CCACCCACCCACCCAGGCTGCCTTCCCCGCACCGCCCGGCGGGCTCCTCCTGGGACCCCCAGCCCGCTGTCTGCAAAGGCTGAGCCCGCACGCAGATACATGCAGGCCGGCAGGGTCCAACCTCTCTCAGCCTTGTTCAGAGAAAGCTGCGGGCCCTGCACTGCACTGCTCCTGTCACTGCAGCTGCACGCAGCCCCTTGCAAGTGTTGCAGACCACATCCGAGAAAGCCCACTTGCGATCTGCTCACACCAAAGCACTCCTCTCAGTAGTGCCAGCACCATTTTACCGAAGGACGCTGACCGGGAGAGGGAGCAGACACGCATTTGCTGCCCCCGTGGGGCTTTATTATCATTATTTTTATTTTATTTTTTTACAGCGTGCATTTCTCTTTTTTCCTGCCCACGTTGCGCCCAGAGGGCTGGGAGCCCCCCTTTAAAGTAAAGCAATATTTATGCGTGCCTGGAACAGGCACAGCTACAAGGAGTAAAGAGCAGCAGAAGAGAATTGCAAATGATCTCGGCTTCTCTGGTTTAATCAATATATAAGTAATTTTTTTTTTTAAAAAAAAGGTACCAAGAAAGGGGAAGAGAGGATCAATAATCCCCCAAATTTGCGACATTGAAAAAAAATACAGGGGTCTAAAATGCACCGATTTTTTTTTCTCCCTCGGCTTTAATTGACGACGGTTTCGGTTTTAAAACCCATCAAATGCATCTCGCCAAGCGGGGAGGTTTTGGTCGCTTTAAAGGCGCCCAGAAAATCTGCAGGTGCCCCCGGTGCTGGGGGAGCGGGGTTGGGAGGCAGAGAAAGTGGAATTCAAGTGGCAGGGAGAGGATTGGGAAGTCCTGGGCTGAGCAGCCCTTCACAAAGCACAGCGACGAGCCGCTCCTAGGGCTCTTCGAAATTCACTCCTCAGCCCACGGATTCCCACCAGGGGCTTTTCCATCTCGGTGCTTGCCGAGCTGGGCACAGCCTGGTCGCTTCCGACCATTTAGCAGTTGTTTCATGTGGGAGCGTTTGATTATTTCCCCCCATTTCCCTTCCCGGGGTATTCATGCTGGTGTCAGCACTCAACAAAAGCATCCGCACCCAACTTCTGCCTATTTACAGGACTCCGCGGATCTGCCTCCCATTTGATGGAAATTAAATAGTCAAACCCTGCGAGCTTGTGCTTTTCTTTTTTCTCTCTCTCTCTCCCCCCACCCTTTTTTTCTTTTCTCTGAATTTATTATATTTCCCCCCCCCTAGAATCTGGTCCCAGGAGTCACCATGAAAAAGAAGCTGGGACACAGCAGAAGTAAGAAGAGGAAGTTTTGTTCTCAGCACTTCCTAATTAAGAAAAAAATATCATAAATACATCGGCTGGCCCAGCTCGTTTAACTTTACCTTGCAAGCAAGCCCTCGGAGCTGTGGGGAGCAGCTCCTCGGGTGGTTTTGCTTTCATGACGACACAATAAAACACGCACAAGTAGGCAAATAAATATGCGGGGAGAGTCTGTGCACACACACGCACACACGCGCGCGCGCGCGCGCGCAAACGCGGAGCCGGTGCGTTTACAAAGAGAAATGCGAGCGGAGTGGGGTTTTCTCCCCCTGCTCCTTCCCCTTATTTTCCCCCGGAGAAAAAGAGGGTGTTTACATTCAAAATAAATAAATAAATAAATAAAAGATGCATAGATAGAGAGATATGGGTCGGACGAACAATAGGAGAAGGGCTCGGGGGAAAAAAATCTCCTTTTTGCTCGCCGCAACTCTTCCGAGGCGGAGCGGGCAGAGAAGCGGGGGTGCCCGCTGCACTTGGCATTCACAAATAAAGCCGGGGTGGGGGGGGTGATGGGCGGCTTGGCGGTGCCCTCCACAGAGCAGAGGCGTCGGAGGGGCAGGGGGCTCGGCCGGCTCCCCGCAGCCTTGCTGCAAGCCGCGCCTGCTAGCGGCTCCTTGCCCTGGACCCTGCCGGCGTGCTGGGGCGCCGGAGAGCAAACACAAAGGCCCCCCCTCCCCGTCGCGGGATAGCTGCGGGCACTGACCTGTTCTTGGCCGCGGCCGCCCGGTCTCGCTGCCGCCGGTTCTTGAACCAGTTGCCGACCTGCGTGGGGGTGAGGCCGGTGGCCTGCGCCAGTTCCCTTTTCTTGCTGGGGTTGGGGTAAGGGTCCTGCAGGTACCACTCCCGCAGGAGGCTGCGAGTCCGCTCCTTGAAGCAGTGCGTCTTCTGCTCGCCGTCCCAAATGGTCCGGGGCAGCGGGAACTTCTTCCTCACCCTGTATTTATCAACCGGGCCGAGCGGGCGCCCCCGCAGCTTCTCGGCCTCCTGGTAGTGCGCCTCGAGCCACATGGCCTGCAACTTGCCATGGGACTCCTTGGTGAATTTGTGGTTCTCCAGGATGTGGTAGAGGTCGCGGAAGTTGCCCGTGTGGAAAGCCACCACGGCCCGGGCGCGCAGGATGGACTCGTGCTTGTTGATGGCCTCGCATGCCCCCGGGGCCACGGGCAGCGACCAGAGGAACCTGCCCAGTCTCTCTATGTCTCCGGTCTCCTCCAGCGTCTCGCAGACACTGGCCACTTGCTCCGGGGAGAAGTTGAGGGTGGGCAGCTGAAACATGGACAACTCTTCTTGGGGTCCCCTGGAGCCGCCGCCGCCTCCACCGCCACCGGGGCTGCAGCCCGTGCTGCCGCTGCCGCTGCTGCCGCTGCTGGCCAGGAGGAGGGAGCGGGGATGCGGGTCGGCGGGGAAGTTTGGCAAGAAGAAATGGGTGGGATAAAGCTCTAGAGGGGACCTGAAAACCATGGGATGACCTGAGAGAGGGGGAAAGAAATCAAGGAGAAAAGAAAGAAAGGAAGGCAGCCGGGAGAAAGGGGCACACGCACCCCGCACGCCTCCTCCACACACGCACACACACACACAGCCACATAGAGACACCCAGCCGCACACACACACACGCGCGCGCGCGCGCGCGCACGCACACACACGCACGCACGCACACACACACACACACACACACACACCCCAACCCAGCACCGCCACCGAGTCAAGATTCAATGATTCAACAGCAATCGCCCTAATGACAACAGCCTCATAATATCTCCCCTAAATCCACAGTGAGTGCAGCATTGAAACATTTTGTTTCGCTTTTCTATTGGTCTTCTGAGTGTCGTTGTGGCGTTGCCATGGCAGCCCCTGCCAATCACTGTCAGCCCTGCCAATCATTAGTGAGTACGTAAGAAAGGTTTTTACCACTTCGCTCAAATGCA